TTTAATGTGAAAATAATTTTTTTTACCTGTACAAAATTCAAAAAAAATAAAAATAAATAAACAAAACACTAAAACCAAGATGAAGGAATATTGATCCAAAAGTGCCATGAAGACCCAACATTCTCAAGACATTATGCATCAACCACTACAATGAATTTAACATTGCAGTCCAGGTTCCATACCACATGTATTGTATTTTGAACTAAAGAAATTAGCTTCTTCATAAAAGACTACAGGCAATACCACAGTAGCAATAAAGAACGTTGAATACTTAATCCAAGTTTACTATGAAAAGCAAATATAGCGTGCCTGATGAAAGAAACAAAATACTCAAATGCCACATTCATAACTTGTTTATTTGAGAGAAACATATTAAATGTGGAAACTTTTGGAGGCTTATAGTTAGAACGTAGTGCCACTGCCAAGGTTCATTCTTTGGTTGAGAAACCTTACTTTACCTCAAGCATATTGACTACCTTCAACTCCTCTAAGGTAGTTGCCATAATTGTTCCAACATCATGGACTTAACTTGTTACAACATCTAATCTCTACTACAGAACAAGCATGGAAATTTTTTGCCAATAATTGTTTTCTCAGAGCCCATCATCCCTGCATTTTGCACATCATATAGTTAAATAAAAATCAATTCAAGTAGCAAGAATAGTATAAGACAATTCAATTCATGTCAGGATGTACAAATTTTGGGGTACTAACAAAAATAAAAGAAACCAAGCAACAAAGTATCAATGACGTCCATCACAATATAATAATTTACTTAAAAATTAATAACTTGAGGGAAAAAAACTGAGTCATAAACATTTAGATAAATAACATATAGACATAAACATATACTTTCTTTGTCTGGCAAAGAAAAGAGAAAAGCTAAATAAAAGCGAAAAAACATATACTCAAGGAGAAAAGCAATGTTCCTACACCAAAAATAAATAAATTAATTAAAATCTATTATAGGTGAGGCAATATTAAAATAAAAACATTAAAAAAATTATATCTATGTCATGTGGAGAATTACTAACAAACAAATCATATACCACAACAAAATTTATATCTATGTCAAACCTTGGAGCTAATGAAGTATTAGTCTCTTTGACAAATCCTCAAACAGCTTCTATGCACAAGTTTTGCATGCCCAGCAAGACCATTGTCCATCAAACACAAAGTAATCATTGAACATATATATATATATATATATATATCATAGAAAATTGAACACATGACGTTATAGAGAGCTGTTAATAAAAAAATTCATAGCCCTTATAGGTCCTTTAACTTGAATTTGACTGATAAAATAAGTGAAGAATGACAAAATAGCAGTGGCCAGGCGGTTTTCATCAGTTATCCTTCAACGAAACAGTATATCTAAAATGAATTTTCAATCTAAATTGATATTCATTTGTTCAAGATGCTGTTTTATTTGTTTCTGCTTTGGAGTTTTTTATTTTCATATTTTCCCTTCCTTCCAACTAACTAGTCTCTCATTGCAGTCACAGATATGATCAATCATGACTCAACATTGTAAGTCAAGAAAGAAATAGACATACATTTCATAAAATAGAGCACAAAATTGGGAATCTGCATTCATCCATTGTGTAACTGGCAAACCATAATAGTAGCTAATACAAATCTATTTATTTTTACTCCAATAATAGATATCATACAGATTACCCAACCGCACTTACAATTTTGCACATAACAATGGTAGCAAAGGCAGACAACAACTAGTCAAATTCTTTCTCTAGACCAACATAATAAATAGAAAAATAATTCCTTAGTGATATTATGATAGATACAGAGTAAGCGGAAGATCAGTGTTTGAATTTTGCTAGAACTAGGGCAAATTTAAGGAAAACGGGTAAAAAGAAAAAAAGATAAAAAAGAAATAAATTGGTTATTTGTGCATGCTAATCAAATGGTCGCAAATTATAGACTAGTAAAAGGTGATTTTTCTACAAGTGATGCTTTGGAACTTTAGGAGAGGCATAAGTTCATCATTTAGCACACATAAATTACATTAGAATTTTGAAGAAAATAATTTAAGATCTAATAATAAAAGGAAAAAAAAATGTAAATTTATTCTTATTAAGCTTCCATTCTATAAAATTTAAGAATTTATGCTATGTTATATATTGTTAGTAATTTTGAATGAAATATTGATAATAACTGTGATGACCGGCCTTCGTTTTCCTTTTCTTCTTTTTTTCGCTTTGTTCTATTTTATTTTCGTTGGATTGAAATGTACAGAATTGGTTTCTTGGTGCTTATTTCTTTCGGTGTTGTATTTCAATTTTTCCGGGGGTGTGCGGGTGAGTCTGGAGTGCCGGGAGCGAAACAAAATTTTGGGTGGCTAGGCTTGGGCCGCACGTGCGGGACCCTAGGCCGCACGTGCGGGGCTGGGCCGCTCGAGCAGTGGGCTAGGCTACTCGAGCGGTGGAGGCTGAGACCCAGGAAATTCCATTCTGTCTAGAGCGCACGAGCGGAGAAAATGGGCTGCACGAGCGGTCAAGGTGGGGCGCTCGAGCAGTGGAGAAGGGTGCACAAGTGGCCAACTGGGCAGTCCGTGCCCATTTTACACATATCTCTCTCACTCTAAACCCTATATTTCTCTCCCTTTTCTCTAGAAAACACCTCCATCACCCAAAAATCTTTGATTCTTGAGGTTCTTGGAGCAAATCATCATCATCTCTCTCTAATTTTTGAAGATCCAAAGCTAGGGCCACACTTGGGTGGTGGAGATCCGAAAATTTCTCTCATCTTTGAGGCTAGGGTTTCATCTCCTCTTCATTAAGGCTTTGAGGTAGAGATTTCTTGAGTTATATATTTAGTTTTGCTATTTGTTGTTGATTTAAAGTGTTTCTTGAGTTTGTGTTGATTTTATTGATTTTGATTCAAAATGTAGAGAGGTTTTTGAATGTGGGTTTATATCTCAACCTTTTTCTTTTGTCTTGAGGGTTTCCCTCTACTAAACTCAAAGAAAATTACTAGATGGAGTCTTTTTTTAAAAAATGATGAAAGTTTATTTCCTATGAAAACCCTAGAAATTGGGGCTTTTGAAAAATAATGAATGTGCCTTTGAAATTATATACTTTCTTGTATCAAGAGCATGTATGAGACTAAGTCTCACCAAATGTTTAATAAGATAGCAAAGTCTTGATATATCTATGTGTTGGAGACTAAGTCCTCTTTTGAAACTCCTTGATAATTGTATATTTGTGTAAAGTGGTAGATGGCAAGTTGTTTAGTGCCATAAGTGATGTGAAAATGTTTAATCGTAGTGTAATGGAAACGTGAAATGAATGATGGCATGTTAGCCATATTGAAAGTTTGGTCATGATGAATTAATGTTGAGGAATTGTTGTGGTGTGTCGAAGACACATGGCTATTGTGTGAAATGAGAAAGTGTAATTATGCGTTGGAGACGCATGGGCATCTTATGAAAGAACATTGTAAGGAGGAAATGAAAATGTGATGTTGAATATGGTTGTAGACATGTTTCTTTTTGTTGAATATAAAAGAAGGCTATGAGTTAGTAGTTGTTGCATCATATTCTCAATTGTTTTAAGGTCATTATTGCATATCATGACATGAGTTGGAAAAGCATTCATTTTGAGAAAGATCAATGTAAGGAGAATTCATGGAAATGTATATGGGGTAAATACGTTGGTAAGTCTAGATATGGGGTGTAGATGGATTTGATAAGTTGGCCTGAGTGTCCAGGGTGAAAGACCCGAAAGCCGCGCAGATAGGTGCCGAGCCTTCCGGTTAATATCGGTAAAAATGACAGTTTGGTAGTACTCGTAGAGTCTACTTGCAGACACTAGCCTAGGGATTACCAGTGTCGTATTTACCGCCCCTGTTGATTTAAATATTGGAAGTTGAAATTGATGAGACTGCAAAATATTATTGAGAACATGTTGATTTTGAAATAGTGCATGGAAATAAAATTCTCTTTCATTATTGGCACTTGCATGGCATTACATATGCATTTTTTTTTTAACGTTGATTGTATTGGCATAACTGTATATACTTTGTGAGGAATCTCTACTGGGCTTTGTGCTCACCCTTATGGGAATTGGTGCAAGTAAAGATGTGGTGACCGCGCCAAGCTAAGGGCGTGGAGATGTTTAAAGAAGAGTAGTCTAACTCTTATTTTGTTGTGATATTTGTTGTAAGCCAATCGCTAATGTGTTTGGGTCCGAGAGACCATTATGTGTAACCGGGCTATTGCCTTGGAACTTGTAAGCCCTTGAGGGCCTTATTTGTTGTGATTTAATGATTTCTTTTACATGCTATTGGTTCATGTACTAGTTTGTAAATAAAGGTATAATGGCATGTGTGAATACATTAGTAAAGCATTTGGAACCATGTAAATGATGTTGGTTAATATCTCTTTTTAGAAGCGGGTTGATGTAATAGTTATGTCAAATTATTTCGGGGTGTGACAACTGGGTATCAGAGCTACCGAGTTTAAATACTTGGGGCTCACGGGAAGTGGTTGCTATACCACAATGGGTTCATTTCGCATGATTAGGAAATGTTTTGTCTATGTGATTATGTGATAGCATGCTTATGTGACTATGTGGGTATGAGATTAGACTTTTGGGATGTTATTTGGACCTATTAGATTCCATGAGATCTTATTACAAGGGTACCTGATCAATACTCCTTCTACTAAGAATTCTTGGTTTCTCGTGGGACAAATCGCATCACTAAAGAATAATTCGTATGTGTTTACGTGACTACGTGCTTATGTAGAGTGAATTGAATTGTTTTTGTGTTAGAATGTATATAATTGTATTAGCTTAACGTGTGAGGAAAGTTGCGAGCACATTTGGAATTATGTGCTAAGTAATCCAATTTGTTCTGTAATCAAGATGTCAGGAAGGGTTCAAAGTCGTGGTGGTGAGAGTGTGTGTCTCGGGGAGGCTGTTGCGTCGTGCACCTAGTTGATTTTGTTTTTGAATTTTAGGAGTGTCGGTAGGGGCATGGCGGTTCCCCTAGCACCTATCGTTACAGCATCGGCTGTCGGCAAGGAAGTTGCACGCGAGGTTGTGATCGCGGTACAGGATGCTCTAGCTTGCAATGAGGGGGACAACGGGCGTACCCTCAAGCTTACTAAGGGGTTTTTTCGCTCCAATCCACCAGAGTTTTTGGGAGAGGCAAGACCGCTGGAGGCGGAGAGTTGGTTGGAACAGATTACCAAGACTCTCGACATACTCAGAGTCGAGGATGAGGGGTTGAGGGTTTCTTTGGCAACCTTCCAATTGAAGGGGGCTGCGAATTATTGGTGGAAGTATGTGAAGGGTACCGTGGGTACCACTTGGGTGGCGTTTACCGAGGCCTTCTTGGCCAAGTATTTTTCTCATTCTGCTCGGGAAAGGTTGAGGGAACAGTTTGTCGAGTTATGCCAGGGTGCTACTCCTTTGGCTCAGTTTGAGAGGAGGTTTACTAGTTTGTCGAGATTCGTTCCAGAATTGGTGTCAACAGAGGAACGTCGTTGTTATGAGTTTGAGAGGTGGTTGCGTGATGATATTCAGGAGAAGGTGGTTGAATCAAAGTGGAAGAATTATTTTGATCCAGTCTAGGCGGCGACCCACAGAGAGGCCATGGTTAGCAGTGTTAGTCGAGTTAGAGAAGAGGCCACATCGGTAACTTCTACAGTTCATAAACATCCTAGACTTAGCAAGAGGTGGAAGCAAGCTCATGCTCACTCCCAGACTCGGCCCTTGTTTTCTTCGGGGGTTTCGAGCTTGTCCATTGGGGGACCTACTGAGGTTCAGGCTCCAAATCAGGTTCAGAGTTGGAAGTCTATTGTTTGTTTTGATTGTGGTCAGCGGGGCCATGCTGGACGTTTTTGCCCTTTACGTGTAGATCCTTCCGGTGTTTCAGAATCTAGTCGGGCCTTGTTCCATCAGTCCAGTCGGGGACGTTATCGGTATCAAACCCGAAAAGGCCAGGCTTCGGAAGCTTCGCGAGGGTCAACTTCTAAACCAGCGCGGTAGTACAACCCTTGAGAGGGACTCTTGTTTTAGAAATCTATGTTATAAGTTATGAAACTTTTGGGATTGACCGATGTGTCGTAAGGTGCTAAGGCGCCGTAGTTATGTATTGTTATTCGTTACCCTCACGTGTCGGGCTTGCTAATGAAACTTAAATTTCCTTGTTATGTATGTGTAATGAAATGTGTAAATGGAATTGGTGATCCTAGTACTATGGTGTATCAACTGTTGAATTTTGTGATGGTCTTGTGATGGCCTTTCATTTTTGTTCAATTTAGAAATTGTTGATGGGGATTGAGAAGTCTGCGAGAAATTTTTGACAAACATAGTATTAAGTTTGAGGAAGTTTGAGACCTTAGAGCTTTGTGAAGATTGGTGGAAGTGATGTAGGAATGTCTAAGAGGGTATGAGGTTTACACCTTGGGTAGTGAGAACGGTGTTTGTGTGTGTTGCTTAGTGTTTTAAAATTTTTGATTTGTGAGTTCAGTGGGGTCCTATCGACCATGAATAGGGTTAATGCTGTGTCAAGGTTGATTGTGAGTTAATAAAGGTGTTTGGAATGAGCTTGTAGTGTTGCTAGATTTTGGTGGAGATTTGAGTGGGGAAAAGAAATTGGGGGGTAGATACTTGAAGTATTACTAGAGCGATGAATGGTTGGTGTTTTAGGTAACGAGTGTACCGTTGGTAAGATTGTCTTGGGTGACCCGGATCGTGTGATCGCCGTTGACCTACTCGGTCTTGTGTTGGGTATAAGAGTGTGTTGGCCATCTAGGCGTGTGAATTGAATCCCTTTGAGAATGGTATGTAGGTGTTTGAATACCGGGAGTGGAAACTCTCGAGTGATTAGTTAAGTTGGGAGTATCAAGGTAGGTGACAAATAGTCACTTTAGAATGGGTTAAATGTGGGTTGTAAGGTTGAGCTTTTGGAAAATTAGTACATTTTGGCTAGTAGGCGGCGTGGTGCCGTGGGTTGTGCCTAGGGCCTTGGGCCTTGCGTTTGTGTGTGGTTATTGGTGCGCACATCTTTGTGTAAGTTGTTGAAGCCGTGAATCGAGGTAGAGTGTTAGCTTCTGGGTTGGGAGTACTCATAGGCTTTTGGGTACTATTGCTCTTTTTGGAAAGTTATGTGTGTTGCATTGTTCTATCTAACACCGTGATTATTTCTAATTGTTGTTGTATTAAAAGATGTGGTGGTCTCATTGTGAAAACACTGTAAGTGTGATGGACGTGATTGGGTGATGGTGGGAATTCACCGGGTGTTGTTGAGAAGATAAATTGATATGTGATTATTGGTTTTTGAAAAACTTTCTTGGCATTTCTATTTCAACTAAAACCCTTGGGGTAAAATTTTAAAGCTTGTTTTGGGAGAAATAATTACAAAATGAATTGTTTTTACTCAAAGTCTATTGCACGAATTCTTCATTGGAAAATAGTACGAATTCAAATAAATTTTTTTTTTTAAAAAAAAAAAAGAAAAAAGAAAAAATAGAGAATATTCTTTCTTTTAAGATGACAAGAACAATTCCGATTTTAACTAGTTGTGGGAGCCAGAAAATTACAGGTACTAGCTTATTGGGTCTAACCCAAACAAAGTCTTCAATGGGTCCAGCCCAAACAAAGATCACCCCCTATCTATATAAATGGGGGGCATCCCAAGTGGAAGGTATGTCTGATCTCCCTCCACAGAACACACACCCATTCTAATACATATATGCTATTTACTTCTTGATTCTGGGACTGACTTCATCATCGGAGTACTCCCGGCCGGGAACCTCGGTTGGGTGGCACCGACTATGTTCATCATTACAGATCTACAGGGGTGAAGGTCTTCTCTTCGTTGGATCTCTACAACATCTATGTGAGAGGATATTTCATGGTCTCACAATTGGCGCCGTCTGTGGGAACAACTGAACGAGATCAACGAAGAACACAACAAACATATTATTGTAAGTAAACGTATATTAGTTGATTTGAGGTTAGTGCACTTTCTACAAAATTAAACTCAATTCCAAGTAATATGGCCCACGGTTGGGTCTCATTTTCATTTTGATTCAACTTGATTCGCAATATACATATCTACGTACATATAATATTATATATCTGTGATGTAAGTAAACTTTTATTGGTGGATTGTTTTTTGAATATCAATCTTTGCTTGCTAAAACCAACAAGAACAAAAACAAAGCAGAGCATTTTCACTTTCTCTCTCTAAAACTGGGTTTCAGACTTTTGTTTATGGGAGTTTCATTTTGGCATTATACAAAGGGTGGCTCTGCCAAATCCACGCCTGGAATTGTTTCTTTATTTAGGAATTGTTTCTTTATTTGAAGCTTTATATATTTTTATGTTGCTTCGGCAATCATCCCGCCTGTTAGCATGATCAGCAAATTCCCAATGCCATGCCGAATGTCACCCCGGTTCTTTACGTCATCAGCACGACAAAAAGAGGTTGCCAATCGTAGGTTTCGGCACGTCAAAATCCAAGACAAGTTGCCGGCAAGCGTCTGTATTGTTTTCGGGGCAATAATCGTCATCACCTACCTTCCTGTAGGGCACTCCGGTGGGTACAATCAATTCGGCAGCCATACATATATAGCTATATTGTTTATATCAAGTTGTGCACTTCGTTAACAATTTTGCATGAAAGGCTCCCTTGGCAACGACGCTCAATTTATGATTCCATACATCTCGGCAACAAAAAGCTTGCTCAGCAACATACAACGTGATATAAGTTTGCATGGTTTCACTGCACTCGACCAATTGGAAAGACATGTACAAATTCCACCGCCGAAAATTATCACTTAAGCATGGCCGACTCACCCCAACTTTAGCTCAGCAACGCTGTAGTCATCCTTGTGGTGACACGGTCATCCGCATAAAACGGGTTAAGAACAACATATATGGCCAATTCAAGAATCACCAATTGGGTGTTGCTCCTCTAAGAAAGGTTCTCGACATGTAACAAGACGTGTGATCGGCAACTGATTTTTAATGCAAGCCAATTGCAGGCTGAGTTCCAAGCAATTATGCACCGAAAATATAAGCCCATTGTGGCAAATTGATCAGCAACCATTACCTCACCGAGTTTCAATCCGATCAAGAGTTATTACATTGGCATTTCTCGGCCACTATTTTAAGCAGTTTGGAAACCCGCTTTAGTCGGCGTCGCCATTGGCCTATCAACTGTTCCTCTGCCTCCATAATTCGGTGATGCCACTCCAATTAAATCATTCGGCAATAGCAAATAGCCGACCGACCACATTGCCAAAATAAAGTCAAAGACCAAAATATTGCTAGGAATTTGTGTTGCTAGGATTTTTATTAAGCCGCCACCGCACATTCATATGCTCTCTCTCTTTCTACTTGTATAAATTTTTGCAGGTATAAAGAAATATTATTCGGCAAAGCTAAGAGGAATTACTGCTCAAGTTTTCGGCAAACCCAAATAATATACGTTGCTAGTGTTTTAGTAAGCCGACACGTAGTGGATAAGGTTATCGAAGTTAGCTTTATCGAAAAGGAAACTTTTGTCATTTGCTGGTTGGCTAACTTTGGTTAAGTCTGTGATGGATAGTATCCCTGGTTATTACATTTCAATTTTCAAATTACCCAAAGGCATTGCTAAGGAAATTGACAGGTTAAAGGCAGCTTTTTTATGGGGCAGCTCAGAGTTAAGAAGATTCATATGGTAAAATGGAAGGATGTAATAAAGAGCAACACTACAAGAAAAATTTAATGTCACGGCGCTTAGAAAAAGACGTTTTTTGAAAAACGTCTTCATTTCTCGTTTTCCAAGACGCGTGCCTTCGCTGATGCTTAACCTTGCCAATTAATTAATGAGTTAAAAAAAGAAAAAGAAACAAACCTCTGCCACTCAAACCTAATAGAATATAACTTTTATTTCCAAGCATCAAAGTCACAGATTCATTACCCTCTCCCCTCTCTTTCTCCTTCTCCAACATTATTCTCTCTCTAAAATGGCACGAATGAAGCTCTCTTTGTAGATATTGACGAAGCAATTGATGATGAAGATTTCAAGTAAGTCTATTGTAGATCAAAACCATAGATCTTTTATCTCAATCATTTTTCATTATTTTTTTATTTTGAAATCTTGTTTTGTGCACTCGATTTGACTAATTTTTTTCGAGATTATTCGATCTCTCTTTGATATTGTTCGATCTCCCTTGATTTGACCAATTTTCTTCAAGATTGTTCGATCTCCCTTGATTTTCATTTATCTAGGGTTTTGTTCTACACGGCGCTGAAAAAATGCAGTGGATCTTTTTGAAAGGGCTTTTCAATCTGTACTCGCTGTGTTCACTCAAGATTCAGAGATTTTCATGACTGCACAGTAGCAATCTAGATCTGTTTTGATTTACATTCTATCAGTTTGATTTCATTCGATTGACTGAAATGGTTGCTTAGGATTTCGATTTCCATTGTTGATCTAGGTGCTCTTCTCTTTTGTTGGTCTGACTCAAGCTTGTTTTGGATGATTTTGATTTCGATCTATGTTTTTGTTTTTCTTAGGTATCGGATCTATAGCTCTTTTATTTGTTTGAGTTCTCTCAGGTAGTCAGCTTCAATGGTTTTGATCTGTAACTGTATTTTATTTCAATAGTTTTATTGTTTGTTCTACAAATAGGTAGCTTAGAAGATTTATATATTTTCTCTCACTCTCTGTGTTTCCTCTTTAAGGTTTTTATTTGCTAAAAGATGATTGAGCCTTTTGGGATGAAATATGTTTTAAAGTTGATATTAAATAAATTAAGTTATCATTTTCACCAAATAAGGGTCAAATGGAGGGGTTTTGGCCAAATTTCCCTTATAATTATATGTTTGTGTATGTGTAAGCAAAATAAAAGTAAAGAAGAACCTGTGTACAAATCTGAATGCTCATTTTTTAAATACGCCCAGCCTGAAAAGGCCTCTACTCTACTTGTTTAGGCCTGTGAATAGAAAGGATATGCATGTAAGTGTTGTGCTCTCATTCGATGGACTCGTTGCATTTTTTTTTTGTATGTTGTTATGTATTTACATGTTTGATGTATATTAGTGGGATGCATCTAATGGCTTTTCATTAATTCTACTTACAGGGTGGTTCCCAAATCTCATCTAACTTCTTACCTTATTCCCAATCTTGGAAGTGAGGGAGAATGAAGTAGTATCCTACCAGAGAGATTTGAAGAGCCTTAGAAAGATGGAGGTTAGTTAAAAGTCACTTGGAAGATTTAACATGTGCCAGTATTATTGCCAAGGCGAAATTGAGAAAACAATATTAGGGATTTGTTATTTTGTGTTTCTTAACTTTCTTGTTACATATTTCCTGTCTGGATAAAGAATGCATGTAATCAAGATTTGGGAACTTCCTAAAAATGCTAGCTTTTTGACTTTTTAATTTTTTTACACAAAAAAGCCAAAAAGTTAGTTTTTTACTAACTTCTCGAAGCACCACATAAATTTTTGCTTCATGGTACCATAACCACTGTTTTACGGATCTCTGCAACTCTTCTACTACAAGGGACCATATCAATTCTTACAGATTTGTTTCACAGTACTAACTCTGCATCCAACTTCTAAGACAAACGCTATTATTTATTTATTTATTTTACTTTCTTTTTAACAATCATTTACTGTCTTGTGTTAATATTCAAGATTCTTTGAATGAGTTATCTTGACAATTTGCTCCATTGCATTTATGTTGAAAAATAATCAACTTACCATAACTTTCTTGCAACCTGGTTCAATATGTCACATTCTTTTACACTTCTAACAAATTGAAATAACTAAATATCATAATCTATATCAATGCTACTAACAAAAGATTCAATAAGAGAAAAGATATACTTTACGCTTAGACCTTTTTCATATATTTGTGAAAAATTTAATCCGTCAATCTAATTATATAAATGTTCTAATTTTAAAAATTTATTGATTTAATTTTGAACTTCAGCATTTTCTCACAATTAAACTTCCATTTTAAAATATATTAATACCAACATTAGTATTATTAATATGAAACATGTGCAACACTTCATCATTTACAGACTTTGAAAGTGTCAAGATGGAATTGATCAAAAATACTTTTTGTTGTGTTTGGATCATGGATTGTGGAAGGGATTTGTGAAGGGAAAGGAAAAGTGAAGGGTTTCCTTTCGCAAATTTCTATCCGAATTCATGATTCAAACATAGCCTATAATAATCTATTAAGTGTAATACAATGGAGTATTGAATATGATTTTTAAAATATAACTAATACAAGATTCCAATATTTAACTCTTTAATTATTCTAATGGAGAAGATGTGGAGGGGAAGACCTAAGCTGACATGGGATGCGGTAGTTAAAAAAGATATTAATTCATTTAATTTAACCGAGAATATAGCCCTTGGTAGAGTAGAATGGCAAAAAATGATTCATGTAGCTGACCTTACTTGATTGGGACACAAGGCTTAGTTTGATGTGATTTGCTATATGTAATCCATGTCTCTCTTTGTGTACAAACACACCCAGACACATATACACGTGCCTATTGGGGTTCTTCATAAATTAGAACTCATTTTACTAGATTGTGCAGCTATTGAAACAATTCTATTCTATTTTTTACAGATGAAATGGATGTGGAAAAAAAATTGTTTAGAGAATAAGAAGGGGACAATTTAGCTTTTAGTTCATGTTAATTTCGTTAGGAGAAAATATTTAAAGTTTGAAGTTATTTTTCTTCCATTGTAAGTTCATTGATTTTAGAGCGTTCTTTAATGCGAAGAATGCTTAATTTAGGTGCCACATGATCTTTAGTGCCATTTGGAGTGCAACATACTTACCCGTCCCACTATTCCAAATCTAATCATAGCTTTGTTTCAGTTTCTCTGTGCCCTAGCCTTTCTTGTTGGAAAACTAGTCATCAACTACGTTGAGCAGAACCACAAGGTGAGTAGTAAGTAACATTTTAAGCTTCAATTTTACTGTAGAATTACAGATTGGATGGTTATGAACCCTAGTTGTTACTCTTTTTATAGCTAAATTGGATGAGTTCTCTATTGTGGCGTTGAGACTTCATTCTTATAGGACAAAATGGAGATCTTTATGGCAAAGTATTACTGTGTGAGATTGCATGCTTTAGTGAGATTGCAATCTCACACAGTAAAGCATTCTTTAGTGTTAATAACTAACAATTAATCATGGTGCTTAAAATTAATAAAAAGAGAGAGGACATAGTGATCATTCAAGCACACATTGGTCCTACTTCATTGCATTTAATATCAAAGGCTTATTCAAGAACCTAATTAAAGTCTTCATTCTGTTTTTAAAATTCTTGTCCCTCTGTTCCCAACACAGTCTTAGGCACACACGTGATATGAATTTCTTTTTTAAAAATATGAGGATCTTAAGATACAATTGCACGATTGACAGTACACTAAAAATGAAATGACAAAGATTTTACGACAGATGGTGCTGTGCCCACTACTTAAAGTTTCTAGCTACAAGGCAAAGGTTCTTGTCAAAGTTTGTTGTAGGAATTTTGGTCCCTTTGTTCTCATTGCACTTTTAGATGCACATTATAGTGAAAATTTCAAAGTACGAGAATCTCAAGATATAATTATACAACTAAGAGTATATTAGAACAAAGGTGATGGAAATTTTAGGACAGATGATCATAAGTTGTGCCCATTAATCGTAGCTACAAGCTACATGGCATTTTTTACTCATGCAAGTTTATTGTAGGAATATCTAATAGAGGGATCCTTTATTCCAAAATTTCTATCTCTCTGTTCCCAATATACATTTAGCTGCATGATATGTAGTGAGAATCTTGAAACACAAAAGTAGGCACCATTATACATAATTGATAGTGCATCAGGAGCAAAAAGAAACTGATTTTGAGATGGAGAATTCTCGTACCTATTAATTATAGTTTCTAGGTACAAGGCAAAGTGCATTTTTCGTGTGCATTGTTAAACCAGGTATAACCTCAGTGTCTATGTCCTCTTTCTTCTTCCCAATAGGCAATTCTCTGTCAAATGAATAGAGAAGATTAGCTAGTGCAAGCTCCACTGTCACAACACCCAGGTATAACCTCAGTGTTAATGATGCTATGGTATGTGATACTACTTTATCTATGGACTTTTAATATGATTTATATTTATATTGGAGGCTAATTATTGAATTCAAACTTGCAGACCCAAATGAATGAGTTAACGGAGCACATGGAGGGATCTTCTATTTATACTTTGCTACTAAAGAATTTGTTTTGCTCACTCTACTTTTATCATGGATCATGCAGATGAAGTGAATCAATCCATCATCATAAGGTTAGTTGAACTGTCTTATGGATTTGTTGAACTGTTTTATGGGAAACTCTGGATTTTAAACTATTAACTCAAGGGTTTTAAGTTTATCTGGCACCATGATTGAGAGTATTTAACAATGTAAAATAAAAGCTGTATGGCACCACTAGGGTGATAGGGCCATAAATCCATGGGAAGAATGGAGCTGGGAATATTTATATTCCTTGAGTTTGTTTAGGTTGGAGATATTCTTGTCATTCCTGAAAGTGACAATAAAGTGTTAATATTTTGGGAGGGAGACGGTACTAATGTTTAGCTTGCTTAATTCTGCAAAAGATTATGTTTGTTTCAATGTGACGCTTCTATGGAAGAGCTTTGCCAATAAGTAAATAGATTTGAAGTGTAGAATAATTTTAAGTTTTTAAGAAGTTCATTGAATAAACCTAAGAGGTAATCCCCAAGTCTAATTTGAGATATTTTTCTAGGTGAATGGAGCATAAGTTTGGAGGCCGTTCCAGCACAGAACTAGTTCTTTGAAACAAATAATTTGAGTATGCCCTGATTGGGAGGTTGGCAGATATGTAAAGGAGTACAACAATCATGTGCATGAACATAGAGCATAAGTAAGCTGGCAGAGGTGGTTTACAATTGTGACATTCTTTATTCTGCTACACCTGGGGAGCTTGTTAATTCACAATAAATAGTTCTTTGTATGTTGACAATAGTTTGAAAATTGAAACAAAACAGTGTCACTGAGGATAAAAATTCTCTTGACAAGGGCTTCTTTATATTCAAATTAAAAATGAAGAAGATATGGGGAAAATTCTTGAAATTGGGCCATTTTATTTTGGAAGTAGACTAATTTTAGGGAGAAGATAGCAGTTGTACATGCATTTGACTAAGAGTGAATTCTCTATAGTGCACATTCCGATGAAATAATGAAATTTCTTACTGTTTTTTCAATTGTGATGTCTAATATGTTATAGTAAGGTCTTAAATTTGAAGGAGTGGGTATTTTAAGATTATGGGTGTTGACCTGTAGGTAATATATCCTTACATATTTGCCACACTAGCATGAGCTTTGCTTTGACAAATATGACGATGATTTGACTCAGAAATTGTTTGAATTTTATTTTGTGTCAACATTAATTAGAGAATTGTGTCAAGATGCGAAGCTACTGCCTTGCAACGTCAATTTCAAGCTATGAAGTTACTGCCTTCCAATGCTAATGATTTCATTGTTATTAATCATTGATTATGTCTATCAAGAAAAAAACTTTAACCATGAGAATCTCTTGGTTGAGAATTTTTATTTTTAAAATTTTTCTTTGTGCTGTTATATTGCACTGCTCAAATGCTTTAATCTTGTGATGATTTGATTATGAATCAGGAAATATATGATGCCCATTGAGTCCATACCTTTCCATGAAATCATCTGCTTTAAGAACGTCGACAAACTTCAAGCAGTAAGTATTTTTGTAATACTGAAACTAAGAAATAGAAATCAAATGGAAAATGTTCACTGACTACTTATTGTTGTTAAGATAGTGCAAAATTTTGGTAACTACACAAGTCATTTAAGAAGCTACATATGAGTTGATAGGTTCTATTGATTTCTATATTATATTTTGATATAAAGTGTAAGTAGTTTTATTGTAACGGTGATGGTGGTGGTGATGGTGGTGGTGTAACCAGACTGTCTTGTCTTCCTCTTCATATCTTTTTGTCCTTTGGGTTAATTTTTATTTCTTTATTTATTTTTTAACGGGAAAAATTTCATTGATAGTTTTATTGTAAGCAGGGGGAACTAAAGTTTGTTGGAAGCCTTCAACCTGCTTCGCAGTGCTGTAAAGAGTACATGATTGGTCTTGCATGTGTTGTATAGCATGCAGTTGATCTCCCCCCCCCTTCGGCGCCCATCTTTTTATGCTAGACAAATTCATCCATCCAATTTAAATATCTTGATTTTTTTTTTTTTAAAATTTTATCTTAAGAACTATTGATGATCCGTTACTAAACCTAAAATTGATTGGACTTCACAATTTGGTAGGGTTGCTGATTTCGTGGTGGCAAATTCCGATCCTTTCATACCTATGTAAGGAACTTGTAAACAACCCTTTTCTTGGAGTTTAGTACAACATTGTAATTTAACATTTTTCTCTTTCTCGCAGAAGTCAAAAGACTCGTACGTCTTGTCATTTCTGGAAGTGGCTAAGGTATCTTCTTGTCCTTTGCTTATTTGTTCTGTATAGATGGAGTTTTCATATTTTACTTCATATTTTGCTACGAGCACTTGCTGTCGTGAATAAGGATAAATTTACTGCAACACTATGAATAGAGCAAGAAGCAAAAAAGTTACTCTTAATGTCAAAACAGAACTCATGGAGTAATGATGTCTTCTAGTGACAAACTTGATATGATTTGCAAATTGATTTTGTTTTTCTTTCTTTCTTTCTTGTAAATAATGCAATATAGATGGTACTTGCTATTTATAGATGGTGCTTGCTATTTTATTAATCTTTAATAAAATCTTTGCTTTGTAATCTTTTCTTTAAATTCTTGCTATTATGATG